CGGTCTCTCCTCTTTACTATCAAGTATATTAGTTCCTAAATAAATCTTTATCTACTCTTTAATCAGGTTGTGCGCTGTTGCTGTGTTAATTACTCTATAATCTCTTAAAGCATTAAAAAAAATTCCAAATACGGTTCCTCAACAGCGTAGAAAAGTAGAAAATGAGATGATTTCAAAGGCGTTGGAAAAGGTTTTGAAGAGGTTGACGAAACTCCCCGGAGTACGTTTCGTAATACAACTTCTTCCGAACGACATCAATGGAACCAGAGTGTCGTCTTCTGTTTATACATCGTGATTGTAATCATTCAGGAAAAACTCTTTCAAATCCTAGTACTTAGTACATGAAAATTCTAAAGCAACAGGCATGTTTGCAATACCACAAAACTTTGCTTCCATTGATGTCGTTCAGAAGAAGTTGTATTACGAAACGGAAACGTACTCCGGGGAGTTTCGTCAGCCTCTTCAAAACCTTTTCAAACGTCTTTGAAATCATGTCATTTTCTACTTTTCTACGCTGTTGAGGAACTGTATTTGGAATTGTTTCTATGCTTTAAGATAATATATGTATAGGGCATTCACTACAGCTTTTGTGTTCTTTGTCCTACTGGTAATATAGCTGTGACCTTCTGCTTCGTGTTAGTTACTCTGCCAACAATAATAAGGGCATGATGTTTCACCAGAGCGGCTAACGGTACGTTGGACTAAATGGACCACTGGTCTGATCCAGCAAAGCTACTCTTCCGGGAAGAAGCACGGTTCTCTGTGGTGGTTTTCCCCACATCTCTCAAAAATAATGTACCAGAGGAACTCTAGTTATGCCTTTCTTCCCTGTATTTTAAGAAGAAAACCAAGTACACCTTGGACTGATCTTTTGAATTTAATCCTCCTCCTGTTTTGTTTTTCACATCATACTTTGGTTTTTCTCTCCTTCTGTTGAAATGCTGGTAACAGTCAATTCCTGACTTGAGAAACTGAAGGAACTGGATAAACATATGGAGCAGAAGTCCATCAGTGGCTCTTAGCCACAAGGCCTAGATGGAACACTCTGTCTGGGGCAGTGATGCTCTGTAATCTTGGTGCTTGGGGGGCAACAGTCGGGGGGGCTTCTGGAGTTCTGGCCCCGCTAGTGGACCTCCTGAAGGCCCCTATGTTTTGGTCACTGTGTGACACAGAGTGTTGGACTGGAAGGGCCATTGGCCTGATCCAACATGGCTCCTCTTATGTTCTTATGTCTGGGGCAGTGGTGCTCTGTCTCCTTGGTGTTTGGGGAACAACAGTGGAAGGGCTTCTGGAGCTCTGGCCCGGCTGGTGGACCTCCTCATGGAACTTGAGTTTTGGCCACTGTGTGACACAGTGTTGAACAGGATGGGCCACTGGTCTGATCCAACATGGCTTCTCTTATGTCCTTATTCCAACCCTGGACTTCCTGGGTGGTCTCCCATCCAAATACTAACTAGGGCTGACCCTGCTTAGCTTCCGAGAGCTGACGAAACCTGGTTAGCCTGGGCCAACCAATATTTAAGTGACCTCAAGTCACAGCCGATTTATGGCAACCCTGTAGGGTTTTCAAGGGAAGGGGCAATCAGAGGTGCCTTGCCATTGCCTGCCTCTGCGACGCGACCCTGGAATTCCTTGGTGGTCTCCCACCCAAGCACTAACCAGGGCTGACCCTGCTCAGCTTCTGTGGAGGAGCTCATGCTAGTCTGGGCTATACAGGTCAGAACACACATTAAGAACAGAAGAGAAGCCCATGTTGGAACATGCCAATGGCCCATCCAGTCCAACACTCTGTGTCACACAGTGGCCAAAAGTGCCAGGTGCCATCAGGAGGTCCAGCAGTGGGGCCAGGACACTAGGAGCCCTCCCACTGTTGCCCCCCCAAGCAACAATACAGAGCATCCCTTGCCCCAGACTGAGAGTTCCTGTCTATACCTTGTGGCTAATAGCCACTGATGGACCTCTGCTCCATATGTTTATCTGATTCCCTGCTGAAGCCGTCTATGCTTGTAGCTGCCACCATCTCCTGTGGCAGTGAATTCGATGTGGTAATCACTCTCTGGATGAAGAAGGACTTCCTTTCATCTGTTCTAATCCGACCGCTCAGACATTTCCTTGAGTGCCCACGCATTCTTGTATTGTGCGAAAGGGAGAAAAGAACTTCTTCCTCAACCTGCTCTATCCCACGCCTAATCTTATAAACCTCGATTATGTCACCCCTCAGCCGTCGTTTCTCCAAGCTTAAATCCAAAAAGAAAATTAAAATATGCAACAATGACCATCTATACACTAGGCTTGCCAAGTCCCCCCGGGGGGCGGGGAAAACCCCGCCCCAGAGGCCGTTCCCCGCCACCGGTGGATCGGGGCCCGGGGGGAACCCCACCCCGACGTGCGCGTCACCCGGAAGTGACATGACGACACCGGGCATGCTGGGGGCGGGGCCACGGTCATCCGAGGGAAAACTCTATAGTTTTCCCTCGGATGGTTGTGGCCCTGCCCCCAGCGTGCCCGGCGGCGTCACGTCACTTCCGGGTGACGTGCGTGCGGCGCGCGTACTCCAGCCGCCAGCAGGGAGTCCCCCGCTCCGGCAAAATTTTGACTTGGCAACCCTACTATACACTATAGCAGCCTTCGCATACCCCCTTCTAACAGATCCCTCACGAAAATACTGAATGCAGAGTATGCTATAAATGGTGTTTTAAAAGTTGCTGTACACTAAAACTTCCAAACCTCTTCTCTCATTACGCACCACCCGTTATGCAACCGGACCTTTGTTGTCCCCAAAACTAGGCCGAAGTCACTGTGGCGACAATAATTCCATTTTTAATGAGGGACAGCAAAATTTCGGGGACGTCACCCGTGCCGTAGCCTAACCCGTACAAAAGGCTGGAAACGGTTGAAATGCAAAACCTGCTCCAGCTACTGCAGGGAAAGCAAACGGCAACTCATTAAAGAAACGTCAACAGGCCGTTTTTTGCCCTGAGTTTGGCCCCTATTTATTCCTAGCCTCCCTTCATTATGAAGTTATAGGAATGCCAATTCTGCCATCTAGTGGTCAAAGGTGGAATATTTTCTTTAAAACTTTTTTTGAAAAGCTTTCCCATTGAGGAGATAACTAGAAGGGAGGGATGTCAGCCTCCAGGTGGGACCTGGGGATCCTCTGGAATTGCAGCTCATCTCCAGGCTACAGAGAGCAGTTCCCCTGGAGAAAACGGATGCTTTGGAGGGTGGGTATTACGGTACTTTACCCCGCTGAGGTCCCTGTCCTCCCCAGGCTCCATCCCCAAATATCCAGGAGTTTCCCAACCTGAATCTTGCAACCCTACCTGCCCCCTCATCCCCTCCTCGTAGCCAGGGGTAGCTTGCCAACCCTAATGGTAGGGTCTACAACAGTTTTCAAAAAACTACAAGCTGCAACACAGTGCTACACACAGTGTGTATGTGACTAGTGGTGCTCAATGAAATTAATGAGCAGTAGTTCCGTGCGCCTCGGTGTCTAGTCATGCCGGCCACATGGCCACGGAAACGTCTTCGGACAGCGCTGGCTCTTCGGCTTGGAAACGGAGATGAGAACCGCATCCCTAGAGTCGGATTCGACTGGCTTTCGAGCAAGGGAAACGTTTACCTTTACCCTTAGGCTTAGAACAGCACAAAGGAAGCACTTCTTCACCTAAAGAATCATTAACACGTGGGATTCACTGCCACAGGAGGTGATGGCGACTACAGGCATGGACAGCTTCAAGAGGGGATTGGACAAATATATCAAGCAGCGGTCCATCAGTGGCTATTAGCCATAAGGTACAGATGAAACACTCTGTCTGGGGCAGTGAGGCTCTGTCTTCTTGGTGCTTGGGGGGCAAGAGTGGGAGGGCTTCTGGGGTTCTGGCCCAGCTGGTGGACTTACTGACAGCCCTTGGGTTTTAGCTACTGTGTGACACAGAGTGTTGGCCTGGATGGGCCACTGGCCTGATCCAACATGGCTTCTCTTATGTTCTTATGTCTGAGGCAGTGATGCTCTGTATTCTTTGTGCTTGGGGGGGGCTACAGTGGGAGGGATTCCGAAGTTCTGGCCCCGCTGGTGGACCTCCTGATGGCCCCTGGGTTTGGGCCCCTGTGTGACACAGAGCGTTGGACTGGGTGGGCCACAGGCCTGATCCGACATTGGCTTCTCTTATGTTTTTATGTATGAAAAAAAGACTATTTCATAAATTCAAACTTCAGTTTACTTGGCTTGGCCATACAGCAGGGTTTGTAAGGCAAAATTAAACCCCCAGGGACACCGCTTTCAATAACAGCCATGTAACAGCCCTTCATCATATTAAGCTGCCCTGGTCTCAGTAGCCCAGACTAGCCTGAATTCAACAGATCTCAGAAGCTAAGCAGGGTCAGTCCTGGTTAGTATTTGGATGGGAGACCACCAAGGATGTCCAAGGTTGCTACTCAGAGGCAAGCAGTGGCAAAGCCACCCCTGAACGTCTCTTGCCTTGAAAAACCTACGGGGTCGCCATAAATTGGCTGTGCATTTACGGCCCTTTCCACCACCAAGATTAAGTGAAGAAGAAGAAGAGGAGATTGGATTTATACCCCGCCCATCACTAAACGAAAGGAGTCTCAGAGCAGCTTACAGACTCCTTTCCCTTCCCCTCCCCACAACAGACACCCTGTGAGGTAGGTCGGGCTGAGAGAGCTCTCCGGAGAACTGCCCTTGAGAGAACAGCTCTGAAAGAACTTGTGACTGACCCAAGGGTCACCCACCTGCCTTCATGTGGAGGAGTGGGGCATCGAACCCCTGTTCTCCCAGATTAGAGTCCGCACTCCTAACCACTGCACCGAACTGGGAAATTAACTTGATGCCTCCTTTAAGTTTCAGAACGAAAGTCGGTGTAGAGAAGAGCAAGATTTCTGTTCTGACAAACTACTACGCTAACTCTGGAGCCAGGTTTGAATTTTCCCAAAGACAACCCTATTCACTTAATTCCACTCGAGTCCAAAAGGGAAGGTACCTTGAAAAAGGCGTGGATTGCGGCCGTCGCTTCGCTGCGTATCCTCAGGAGCGCGCTCAGAGTATTACTTCTGCACCGGACGTGAGGGAACTGCCGGAGGTAGTCTAGCGGGTGACGCGTTTTGTACTTCAGGGGGAAGGTCTGAACACCGAGAGAGGAATACGAGGGGGTGGGAAGAGAACCACAGAGTTAGATCTAGATCCTTTCTCCCTATTTGGTAAACATGATCCCGAAAGGATACAATAAGCAAGATGCATATGTATTAAGTTATATTATAACAGCAGCTAGATTGTTAATAGCTCGAAAATGGAAAGCTGAAGTTACACCCACAAGGGAAGAGTTAATAGATAAAATACTGGAACTAGCCAGAATGGATAACCTAAATTTAATGCTACAGAATAAAAATGAAAAGGTGCATGAAAAGAGATGGGAAAAAGTGTATAAATTGATAGAAAAATTGTTAGGAAATTGATATCCCCAATTTGTATAGGTGGGAAGACTGCACTGTGACTGCTGTGGCCTTTTGCTATGAGTGTCGGTCCATCATACTTCTGTGCCTTCTCATGGACAAGCTATCCCATGCAACCTTTCAGAACTGTATCTTCAAGGGGCCTTCTAAAGGGGTAGCATCCCAGATCTCATGCAAATCACCTTGTGGTGTAGCCTACATAAAGATAAATGGTAGCAGGGGGATAGAGGAAGCAGGGCCACTGCCAGGATAAGGTTGGCCTTCAAGTCCAAGGCATGGAAAAGAGGTTCTTCCTGAGTTTCTTCTTCATGCTCCCATCATGTAAGGAAGGGTCGCATTATTTTCTTATGACATTATAGGTTCACAAGAAGCAGGGACCCATGATACTTTTAATGCTACAGAATAAAAATGAAAAGGTGCATGAAAAGAGGTGGGAAAAAGTGTATAAATGGATAGAAAAATTGTTAGAAAATTAATATCCCCAACTTGTATACAAAGTAAGAGATGAAGGACTCTGACATATATGTAATCTGAATAGATGAAATGCTTGTGCATAAAGATATAAATAAAATAAAAATTGTAAAAAAAAAGAACTGCATCTTCAAGGGGCCTTCTAAAGGGGTAGCATCCCAGATCTCATGCAAATCAGCTTGTGGTGTAGCCTTCATAAAGATAAATGGTAGCAGGAGGACAGAAGAGGCAGGGCCACTGCCAGGATAAGGTTGGCCTTCAAGTCCAAGGCATGGAACAGAGCTTCTTCCTGAGTTTCCTCTTCATGCTCCCATCATGTAAGGAAGGGTCGCATTCTTTTCTTATGGCATTATAGGTTCACAAGAAGCGGGGACCCACGATACTCACGGGGGAGGGAGGAGCTCCATGTGGAGGAGGAGGAGGAAGCAGCCACAGGTGAGCCTTCTCCCCCACCCACCCACCTGCACCGATGGTGAGGCCCAGGCCAGACAATCTTTTTCCCGCAACCCTCCCAGCACAGGCAGCGAGCCGTGTGGGCCTGCCAAGCCTTCTTCTGCTCCCCCAGGCACCGGTGGTGAGGCCTGAGCGGTTCCCAGCTGCCGGGCCCTCCAAGCCTTCTCCCCTCTGGCACCAAGCCTCCCCCAATGGACAGAGCATTCTCTGTGCATGAACAGGGAACACTTTTTCTTTTGGGGGATTTAAATATTCCCCGTATATTTTTTCAACTTTTTAGATTTTTCTGCACACCTGGGGATCGTTCCAAGTGTGCAGGAAAATCTCTCTGCCCCCCAAGTGCCCCCGATGTGCGGATTTAAACATCCGCACGGAGGGGGCAACTTAGATATATGGATGACATCTTCTTCACGTATCCATATTTGTGCTTTCAAATCTGTGCTTCTGTATTCTTTCTGAACCATGCAGGGGTTTCTTCTCAGACATGTACAGAGAGTGGAGGAGGGATTAAAAAAACTGGAGAGACTCTTCAGCTGACTTGCACAGTGTCTGGGCTTCCTCTGGAAAGCAATGCAATGAGCTGGTTACGCCAACCTCCGGGGAAAATAGCAGAGTGGATGGGGGATATCTGGAGTGGTGGAGGCACTGCCTATAACAGCGTTTTCCAAAATCGGATCCGTATCACCAAAGACGATTCCAAGAGCCAAGTGTTCCTGCAACTGAGCAGCCTGAAGCCTGAAGACACCTCCCTGTATTACTGTGCAAAAGCCGCACACTAATGAAAACCACAGCTGCAGTCACACAAAAACTTCCCTTCCAGCAAACACAGGGTCACGCTTGCCTGTTTTTGTGTGCAGCGGGAGGAAACAGGGAACTCGTTGATTTTGGTGCATTTTCTCCTCCTGGGTTCTGTGGAATATTACATCACAGATCTTGGCTACTGTAAAAAAAGTTCTCAGCTACAAATTGAGTAGCCAAAAATATTCTTCCAAGACAAAGTTCCCTCTGTCTGTCTTCCTGTCTGTCCTACACTTCCACCAAAAAGCTCAGAGCAGAATACATGATTTCCCTGTCCTCCATTTTGCTCTCAGTTCCATATTGGGAAATCCTTGGAGATTCGGGGGTGGAGCCTGTGGAGAGACTTCAACATGGTATAGTTCCACAGAGTTTGCTCTCCAGAATGCCATTTTCTCCAGGGGAACTGATCTCTGCCATCTGTAGATCACTTGTAATTCTGCGATGTCTCCGGGTACTACCTGGAGGTTGGCAGCCCTATCCTTATAGCTGCTATTTATGGTACACTAGACTGAGAGATAGGGACTGGTGGAAGGACACCAAATAACCTTCAAGGCCAAGTGGGGATTTGAATCAGGTCCTAAACCAGCTCTCTAACCACTGGCTCTTATGAATCCATTTATGTATGAAATTGTCTATAGTGACTATGAGCTGACATATCAACCTCTTCACCTTCCCTTGTTTTATCTTTTACAACCCCTCCCCTTCTTCCTCAAAGCCCAATCTCCTCCTCCTCCTCCTCCTCCTCCTCCTCCTCCTCCTCTTCTTCTTCTTCTTCTTCTTCTTCTTCTTCTTCTTCTTCTTCTTCTGTTTAAGGCTAATATGGGTTTGGACCCAGGTCTCCCACCTTCTAGTACAACACTCCAGTCCTATCATTTCCCCTACAAATGGTGCTGTGGTGGCCAATCTGATTATATTATGTATTACTGAACATTTAGACCCTTCCAACTAGACCAGTCCACAAGGTGGTTTTTGCAAAATAAATAACTCAAAACGATTGAGAAAACCATTCCATACCAAATAAGTATTAACCACAATTAAAAATTTAGCAAATAACTCTGATTAGTAAATGTAAATTCATCCATCCATGAAGCCTGTATCATCTTACCAAATGGTGAGGAAGAAGAAGAAGAAGAGATTGGATTTATAGCCCACCCACTACCCAAAGGAGTCTCAGAGAGGCTTACAACCTCCGTTCCCTTCCCCTCCCCACAACAGACAGCCTGTGAGGTAGGTGGGGCTGAGAGAGCTCTCTCGAGAACTGCTCCTGAGTGAACAGCTATGAAAGGACTTGTGACTGACCCAAGATCACACCAGCAGCTGCATGAGGAGGAGTGGGGAATCAAACCCAGTTCTCCCAGATTAGAGTCCGCGTTCCTAACCACTACAACACACTGGTACGTTATGACACAGGAAGGTACAGATGTGTAGTAAAATGTGTGACAAAACATTTTTCTGTATACACTCTTTCAGAACATAAGAAGGTCCATCTAGTACAGCATCCTGTCTCACACAGTGGCCAACCAGTTCCTCTGGACGGCCAACAGCAGGGCATAGAGGCCGAGGCATTCCCCTGATATTGCCTCCCTGCTCTGGGATTCAGATGTTTGCTGTCTCTGAATGTGGAGGTTTCCCTCAGTCGCCATGGCTAGTAGCCATTGATAGACTTATCCTTCATGAATCTATCTAATCCCCTTTTCAATATGTTTATTCCTGTAGCCATCACAACATCCTCTGGCACTGAATTCCACATTTTAATCACTCTCCATGTAAAGTAGTATTTCCTACTGACTGT